ACCTCCAAACAACCAAAATTTATCCAGTAGCAATTACAAAAGGAGAACAACTTCTTAAACATCGCCCCCTAGTGTCAGATGGGTGTCAGTGCCCCTCGCCCTTTTCAAAGTTCCGTGCCCGGCAAGTTACCCCCCACAATCCACCATTTTACCTGCATCCCCCGCACAAAATTGCCCACATTAAACCCTTCAGCCCCTAAACTTCAAGGAGCCGGGTTATTTCGGCCCAGTCCACAGCTGCGGCGACCCCCCCCCAACTCGGCTGCGCTTTAATTTTTGAAACTTGGCATGCATGTAAAAACACTAAGCTGTCATTACAAATGTGAAGTTTGAACTCAATCAGGCCTCTGAAATTCACGGCTACATTTGTGCCAGCCTGCGCGCATTGAGCACCGCAGTGGCAATGCATTTTGACTTACCTTTACGTCTCGCAAAAATGGGCGCTGCACAAGAATAGTGTGTTAAATTTTCACAAAATCGGATAAGGGCGGGGGACTCTACCCCCTACCCGGGCTCTTTAACGGTCAAGTCTTTCAAGGCGGATAAGTGGAAGGCTACCCATTTCTTTTAATGAGAATTTTTATGGGGGGGGGTCTCCTGTCCTTTCCTCCCTTCTAAACACGTGTAAAAAGCACCCAAATTTAGCCCCCCCCCCGTTTCATATCAACATATCTACATTGTGGACCTGCAGCACCCAAAGGTTTTGTTCCGGATCTGTCCTTGAATATCAGACATGTAGCGTTTAACAATAATACATACTAAATAAGGGTTACCGAATGACCCCTACTTTTCCACGCTGAGGAAAACAGAAAGGCAATTTTTCGGAATTTTAAGCCCAAATTACTCCTTTAGAACACTAAAACATGGCAGACGAGCAAGCAAATTAAGTTACAATACACGTACGGTAGAGTTCCTAATTATAAGGTTCAAAAGTGGAAGTATATAATATTGTATATGCACATCGGTATAATGAACAGCGCCCCCAGTGTCACATGGCGTAAGCAATTAACCCCTACATTAAATTTCCGTAGTTGGGCAAGGTTTTGACTTGCGCCACCACCCCCTAATGGCATACAAATTTTACTGCAGGGGTGAATTCTTTTTTTTCCCAAAAAAATCGTTTGATGTTAATATTTGTTGCCTTCCTTTACAAGGTATAGAACTCGTAATCTGTCTTCAAATTTAATCGAAGTTGCGCAAATGTGGGCATGTCACATGCTCTAGCTTAGCGGCTCTCTCCAGGGCGGTCACTCGGCCCAGGTCTAGATCATACCATCCCGCATCGTAGTACTTTCGAAAGTTCTGGTAATGCGCTTCGATACGTCGGATGCAGTCGTTACGACCTTTGTCAGGCGAGCACCACGTCTTCATGTGGCTTTTCGCAGGAGTGAATTCGAACATGAGGAAGTTTATGGATTCTGCGAAACGTTCGCAGCTGGTCGGCTGCCTGCCAACGTACCGCTTGGCAACGCAGTATCCCTGCAATAAGGCATCGCTTCTGTTCGTGTGTATGGCGACGTGTACATCTGGAAAAGTGTCGTTGACTGTGACGTTGACATCTGGGAGCAGTTCAGAGTTGTGTGCCTCGAGACTTTCATTGAAATCCAGATGCCAGTCGTAACGATTATGCTCGAAGTGGTAGGCGTAGTTCATGATGATGTTGACCGGGCTAATTGGGTAAAGCTTGCGAAAAACGTCCTCAAATTGAGATACCTGCAAAAGACGTCCATCCAATTGGAATGTTCAAGTTAATCCAAAAGACCATTCATTGGCACGCCGCTCAGTTATACACGTTAACAGGTGGTACGCGCGCGTTACAAGCGTCTTCGACCAATAGCGTGTCGTGATTTGCCAATGCACGCGCGTGTCGTGCTAAAAAGAATGCAAGTGTGGGTGTGGAGCAACCTCAGTTTCAAGCAAAGATCGTATAGCGCCGAAGGTGCGAGATGGATAACTCTACCCAAAAGGTGTAATTACCATGGGGCCATTTGAGCAAGCGATACGCCTGCGCAGTTTACGGTAATGCTTCGGCCCAGGCTCACCAGGTGCACGTACGTGCCTGCTGCAGCGCCTGCGCCTGTGCATTAATGGGCATTGCGCAGGCGTATCGCTTGCTCAAATGGCGCCAATGGTAATTACAACGTTTTACGTGTATTCACGGTGAAGTTCGCCATCTTGCGCCGCTAGGCGGCGCTATACGATCTTTGGTTTCAAGTTTGCAGGAAGCCTCTCATCCAACAAACTAAGCAAAGGGTTGTGTTACTGCGTTTGTGTTATCTTGCATTTAGAAGATATGAAATCATCTCAGTTTCTCTGTAGAAATTTAGCCTGATAGTGATCAACGTTGCTGACCAGATATTGGAAAGGGTTTCCAAATGACGGATAAAGTTGCAATTCCTTCCCAGGGTAAAATACAGCCGTTTTTTTAATGTTAGGTATAGGCCTACGGCTTACAATAACCTCATTCACATATTCAAATTCAACTGTTAATTTAAATTCACTTTAGCCACTGCATTCGACGTCCTCCAAGCCAGAAATGAGTATCAGGACTTTTGTTTGAAGTACACGTAATATTCAATAACGCTCGACTCTGAAATGGGTTATTTGAACTCACGAACAGTGCGTGACTCTATTTGACACTATATTTTCTGTGGCCTCTACATTGTACAGATTCCCGAGCATGTACTTCAGTTGAACAGCCAAAAAAGTTCCGTAACCAACTTTTGACAAGTATGACGTGATACGTCTCATTCAAGGGAATGTGCCTGACTAACGTGGTGTGCTCGTCAACACGAGCTTGATTTGACCCTCGGGTGGTTGTTTGGTTTATTGCGGAATCCAGATGCAGGGTATTGGTATAGACTGTTTACATTCGATTCATGGAACTGTGCCTAATGGGGTGCAATGATTGATGGATAAGCAGGTGGGGCCAAGAATAGGGTAGAGCTGCGGGGACATTTTCATGGAGGTACTGTTGCTAGGTATAGAAGTATGGTGGTCAAGAGTGGACATGTAAAAGTGTAGGATACTACACCGCCTCGCTGATGAAACCACCACATGTTGCATGCTTACAGTCCTAGTTTGAGTGGCATCTGTTCTTGGATCTTTACATGTCCACAGTCACGGATTTGTCTTATGCATGTTCTTGTCCCATTTCAATGGTAATCTTAAAAGGTGAAAATTACTAGAACGATTTTTATGAAGTCGATTTATAACCAAGTGCAATTAACGCCTACATCCCAGACTTACCATCATGTGTTTCATGATGTGGTTCCTGCAGTTGGTGATGGTGTCTCTCCAGACGTAGGCTGGAAAATACGACATGAAGTCGGCAACCATCTCCTTACCGATTGCGTCCTTTGTCGATTCGTACCATTGCAGCTGGTGCGCTCTATCCAACGCGGCCTTGTCCCTCGTAAAAGATAGCACCCGAAGCCTACGGCCGTTGAAGATATTCTCCGGGGTAACGGGTGTGGTGAACAATACATCCGTGTCCGTCCAGCCGATGACAGAGGCGTTGACGTACAGATCCATGAAGAAGCTGCTCCACAGTTGACGGCCGTAGCCCCTCCCTCGAAAGCTTCTCAGGATGGTGGTGTCATTGGGAAGGGGTTCGAAGATAATGTCAAACTTGAAACCGAGTTCCTGCTCGTGCTTGCGCAGTCTGGCTGCCATCTTGTGGTCCGCCTTCGACTCCTTATCCAGGATCAGCGTAATGGGGCCCAGCTTTGGCGACCAGAACAACACAGCAGACATCAGGAGTACACAATAGAAACGCCGGCGAAGGTTCGGTAAGGCCTTCATGCGAATAGTGAGTGTTACTGTGTTCTTTGGAATGATATTCACATCGTTTCTTCTTAGCGCGTAGGTACCCGCTGAGCGACCTTGACCCATCGCCGGATATTTTGGAGGTGGATGCCTCTGACCATAGCCGAAACCATTTATGTTAGAAAAGCTAGAGTTTCTTGAAATATAATAAACAGATAGAAACACTAATGAAAGAAGAAAGACGGGTTTGGCTACATCTGAAATTCGTACCATAATGGGAGCAAGCAGAAACTGGTGTCCAAGCCCCAAAACGTGTACCCGTCTGGTCCGTTCCTGTGTACTGTAGAGGGCTTACTTCATCATGCACTGTTTGGTGCCATAGCACTAAAAACACATGACCTTTCATTCACCTCAACAAGGTCATGTTCGTCGACACAGTGTACACTGAGCGGTAACTGAATTGAAAGCGGGTGTTAATATAATATTTAAATATTATTTAATTTTCATGTACCATCCTGTAACTGGCGATTTGGTCGCCGTTGGATGTGGTTGAAATAAATAAATGAGTGTAGATAGAAAGCAATACCCATCTTGCTAATAAATGATTGATATGAACGTCGACCAGTAAGCATGCAGCTTCTGACCAGTAAGCAGCTTCGGTTTTTGCTAGATTTTTCTTTCCTGATCGACCGGATGCATTCAGTTTGCGTATCGGCCGAACACCACCTGCATTTCCACATAATTTTATTCCCCGGGCCCCATATGCAGTTATCGTACAGTGCTATACAATTAAGCTGCATGTATCGTTGACCGGCCAATAAGACCCCGGCCATTGTACTCATAAAGTATAATATAATGGTCTTGTATGACAGCTCACTCATGGTGCGCTGGATGTGTCTGTAAATGATCGTTTTTTCACTGAGACCGCGGTCTGGACGCTGATAATTGCTCGAGCCGAAGCAAGGGACTTTTCCATTCCCATTCGTGAATACGTTGTTTGAGTCAGAAAGTCAATTATTTTTTTCAGCTTCCCAATGTTTCAACTCTAAAATTCCTATTTTCTGAAACAAAAGCCAACATATGACAATTATGGCAATTAGAAATGATTATAAAGCAATACAAACGAAATAAATTAAGACCCCAAAAGGTTCAAAATTTCAAGTTATTTCAATTATATTCCTCACTCATTGGCAAATGACGGAGAACACTTATGCCTTGCTGTGCTGTCCCTGCCCTTGTCAATCGTAATTATTGTCATGTTTGGTGTGGTATGACAAATTTCTAAATCTAAAGTGTCATAAAAGTGAAAAAGTGAAATCAAATCAGCCGTAGATTCAATAATTTCCTGATCAATGGTTCTTGGTGTTTTCTCAAATCGTAGTGAACCAACCGGGGGGGGGCAGATTTTTTTCGTCTATATCACTTGACCGTAACCGCCGCCAGCGATGGATAACTGAATTCCAAGGTTCTGTCCTTTATTTGAACTCTGATCTTCGGGCCAAGTACATGTACATGGGTATACCAAAAGGTCTGCTCGTGCATTTCCAACTGGTGGCTAAAACTATGGCTGGCCGTCTCACAAAAGTAAAAAAAAAGATTTACAAAATTTTTACAATCCTACGCAGCTCCCAGAACAAGGGATAATAACATACGCACTGCCAAATACTAAATGAAAATACAACCCTTATTAAAATTAATGGGACATATGTCCACTTTTAACGAATTTGAGGTAAAACCGAAAACCAACCAAAAATTGACATTTCTGCCTCTTTGGCCGCTCATACAATTTGTAGGCGTTAACGACAGTGGCCACGTCACAGTCGTGGTTTTTTTTCATGTACGAGTGGCCAACACTATGGTTGGCCGTCGGTACAAAAGTAAAAGAATAATTCACGAAGTGTTAAAAATCCCCAAAGCTATCAGAACACTGGACAATAATACGCGTACTACTAGATACTAAAAGAAAATATTAGCCTGTTTAAGATTTATTAGACAAATGTCCATTTTGAACGATTTGGAGGTAAAATCGAAAACCAACCCAAAGACGATATTTCTGGAATGTTTGGCCGCCCATATAAGATGTAGGACAAATGAGAGTGATCTGTGCAGTACCCTCACTTTCGTTGACTACTGCGCGCGTGGCAAACCACGGCGTCATTTTCATGATTGCATTCTCATAGACTGGAATTTCAGGTGGTTTGAACTACGGGTTTTGCAGGCTCTTCATCAATTATATTAGCCATTGTGCCTATCATTGTTTAATTAAAGGAGTCATATACGCCCTCAAGTGACGGGGTCATGTCAGTCGACCAGGTAAGCAATTTACAACCTCATTCATGTCATTGCAACGTGTACAGGTACATGTCTCTCCGTCTCGCTTGGCTGACTTTCCTCAACGGCGTTGCTTTTGAGGTGCAAATTTCGTTCCCCGGTCATCAACCATCGTCATGAGCCGCTACTCGACAGCAGCCGGCAACGGACCAGGTGGCGCTGTCTCTGGAGCGGCACCCGGTTCGTCATCCGCGGTGATCTTCAACATGTCTCAGATTTCCGTGCGCTCCGTGCACCTGTTGCGATGGCTGGTGATCCTGTGCGCCGCCGTGTCGCTGATATATTTCTGGTATTGGCACCGTTGGAATCTCCAGTACCAAGCCAGCCACTTAGAGGTGAGCGGCAACACAGACCCGGAGGATTTACCCGTCTCTCTTTTATGTGGTCTGTTTTCTCGAGGTCGGCCGAATCGTAGGCCTACCCTCAAGGCCTAACTTAGGATTGTATTTGTGCTGGTGGGAAGTTCTTCAATAGAGAAGAGCTTTGGTTATATAACATGTGTAACTCAGGGTTTACTTAGGTTTCTTGCAGTGTGATCTCTCTCAGTTTGTGGAGGATTATACATGCATGTCATGGCGGTTTCTGGAATCACAATGGTAAGGTTTGGGGTACTTAGTTCGGAAGTCTGACATGTTGAAATCATTATGGCCTAGTTTAATATTACACATGTTATAACTTAGGCCTAAGCCTTTTTGGGAATAAAACCAAAGATTTGTCAAAAGTGCCCTAGTCACTGTAGCTTGTAAGCCAGAAGAAACTGTTTAGAGAGGAGCCAATAAGATGCAGTTACAGTTAAACTTTAGTGGTGGGAGGAAAACCCCAGAGGAATATTCTGGGTAAACATAAGCCTTTTTCCAAATATTGCATGGGTGATTTTGCACAATGGTAGAAAGGCATTGTGGGAAGGGAAAAGGAGCAATGGTTTTTGTTTTTTATGGTCATGATGGTAAAAGCCTTCAAAATCAGGTAGGGACTGAAAACCCAATCCACACGTGGACCGACCCGGGGATCGAACCCGGACTGCAGAGATGGAAGGCGAGGAAAGAACCCCTACACCAACCTGACTCCCCAATATTCAACTTGATAATTCACGACAAAGTTGCGTGTAGCGATACATTTCAGTAACCACGCCTAGTAATTGCAAATACTGCATGGGGATTTTGCACAATGTTAAGCACTGTGAGAAGTACATGAAGATAATTATTAAAGGCAAATGTACATCTCGTTACCACTACATGTAGTTCAGAAAGAATTCCATACAGACATCGTTAATACCCTCTGCACAAACACCGTGACACTGGTGTGAAAAATTCTATTTTCTGAGCGAATACACTGTACCTCAGTACATGTAGTTTTAAATTGCTACTGACATGTACCAATTATAGATGTACATTTATTTAGATGGCTGATTTTATACATGTAGGTCAGTGCACTAGAAAAAAAATTTCCTTCCCACGAATTGGACCTACAGTTTGTCAGTTTGATATTTCGTATATTCGTATTTCATAGATCTCTTCCATAATTTTTATGGAATTGTACAATAGTTCAGTATATTTTTAAATGTTTTATTGCCTGTTAAAACAATGTGAATTTTGCCTGAGCAACTCCAAAGAAATTGGAGTTTTAATTTGGAAAGAACTCCATATTAGGATTCCATTCATTTTTCCTTAGAGTTACATGTATCTGTTACCCATCTGAAATTCTGAAAGTGATAACACGACCTAGAAAAATGAATTTAGTTGGGGAAAGGGTAGAGGTACATGGACAGTACATATTCATCTTTCAGACAAGTCTCATTGGGTTTGTGCACAGGATGTCAGATGGCGTCTGTATGGAACTCTTGCATTTAGTTGAAGTAGAGAAAATTCCATACAGATTACTCATTTTTGCTTGCGGTAAACGTACATTTACATAGGGCCTATACATGCACATGTACATGTACATATACTGTATGTACTTATATCAGTCATCAGAAAGCAAATGTCGTAAAGAGTTAAATTAAGCGGGGAAGAATTTGAAACATTAGAAAACACTTCAAATCTATCAGACCATGGAAAGGGTTCTGTACTTGGACATGTCACGTATCTGTAGCACCCTGTGCTCAGACCAGATGAGACTGGTCTGAAAAATTTCAAGTATTTTCTCAGTAAAACACTCCAATATTTTAAAATTGCTCACTTTAGGATAATTTTGTTACATGCCAATCTCTTTCTGGTGGTTGATATATATGTCACTGCCAGGAAAAATCAATGATGCCTGTACATGGATGTCTTTAACGAGGTGAGTCTAATAGAGTTTGTGCACAGGTGTCAAGTGATGTCTGGTTGAGGCAGTCTTTCATTTTGGTGCATCGTCTTTGAAAGGGAGAACAAAAATGACTCCACAAGTGGTGACAAGCATTGTCAACGTGTTAGTGCATAAATGGGCAGATTTTGAAAGGCGAAGCTAGCGTAGAAATCACCCTGAGTTGATGGGTCTTTTTTGCCGCTGTCAGGTTTTGTTGCGCAGACTCTGTGACCAAAACTCAGAAGTACATATAAACTGGACAGCAAAGGAAACTTGCCACTTCTGTTAAAGGCCGCACGTAAAAATTAACCCCATAGAAATAAACAATTTTTGTACACAGGTATGCTGCAATACCCCTTACTAATCAAAAGCAAGTGATTATCTTTATAACGAAGGAGAAATTGACATGCACAGCAACTTGGTTACTGAATCAAAAGTCACAGAATGTAACCGAATGAGCTGTAAGTTTTACGCAGAAATCCATGTCACAGGACGAAATAAAGAAAGATTTCACCATCATTACTTTTCAATAATGTGTATGCATAGTCAGTAAGGATGGCATCCCTATACAGAAACCACTCATGCACATCATTTTGACATTTGTTCACTTTGTCATTGGTTGTTTGGAATGTTGTCCATTCATGGGTCATTTTTGCCTGGTGAAGAGTGCTTTGGTGTGTGACTTTTGATTCAGTAACTAAGTTGCTGTGCATGTCAATTTCTTCTTTGTTGTAAAGGGGCACAATTTGTGACGGTGTCCATTGTTATGTGGGTTCTGTAAAAACGAACAGCTATTTCCCTGCAAGTGAATTCCAAACTGACATTGTTTTACATCTTGCAAGGCCAAATACAGAGGTGTGTGTTATTTTTCTGGAGTAAATGACCTACTCTACAGGTCATGACAGGTGGTAAAAGTTACCCATGTAACAAGGACACCGTCACAAATTGTGCCCTAACCACATGCAATGACCCAGATGCCATTTCTGTTGATATTTGATACCTACTACAGGTCACCTGACTTTCCATAGCACTGGCAGGCACAATTGGGTTTATTGAAGAAAGATTTGGGCATATGTTCCAAGTATTAGTACTCTGTGAGTACATGTACGCATGTTGATATGTAGCTACATGTACTTGCACATACTAAATATTTCTTTTCCTTTTCAGCTTCCATCGCTGAAGAATGTTGGGCCGGAGTTTGTCCTCGGCAGGGAGGGCAAAAAGCTGCGGATTCTCTCGGGCAGCCTCCATTACTTCCGAGTGGTGCCGGAATATTGGGAGGACCGCCTCATCAAGATGAAGGCCTGTGGACTCAACACCGTCACCACGTAAGAACAATAATAATTGTTTATTCGATTCCTTACAACATAACACTATGATGTCCAACCCCGCAAGGACATGGTTTTAGTGAAGACCTCTTATGAGTATCACAACACGGGACTTCAATCGGTGTTTAGAGTCCAATGTCCATACATTCCAGTATGTCAGTGATGTAAAGATGCTACTTGAATGTTAATTAATTAATATACCACAAAAGCCATCCATTACAAGTATGCTTGTGCTATAACCCATCTGTTGCAGGTATGTGCCATGGAATATGCATGAGCAGGTCAGAGGTGACTTTGACTTCAGTGGCCAGCTGGATATTGTGTAAGTTATCTGCCACACGGTGCTGCTCTCAACTGTTTAAATATTGTACACATCTCTACTTCAGTACTCGTCTTTTACCAAGGTACACACATGAGATAAATGTATTTGTGTACATTCCATTGAAAGTTAGCCGAGCAAACCAACATTTGACTACTGTGCTTTCCAGTCAACATGGTGAATGAAGACACGAATTTGAGTTCTAACAAAGGTTTGACTATGTTACCTTGTAGTTTTTGTTTTATGCATTCAACAAGGCTGAGCACTTGGTATCTGATATTGCAGAACTTTGCAGATTTTAAGTAAACAGTTGAACTAAATTTTAAAAAAAGTGCAGCATTGATCGTATAATTTCCAAAGAATTGCTTCAGGAAATGCATTATGGGTATTGAGCAAGATCTAAACTGATGTACATGTATAAGCTTTCGTGCCACATACACACCAATGTAGACTTCAGGTTTCTTCCTACCTCCATGTTAACCTCAAGGTTTGGTAGGATTTCCATGGCTTGGGACTGCTTCTCTGTCGTCTGTCTGAGCTAGTGAAAAGGTTTAAAGCAGTTATTACTGAACAGAAGCTGTGGAAAGTCTTAGATTCCATGCATGATGTGTCATTTCTTGTGCTTGTTGCAGGGCCTTTCTGAACCTTTGCAAGAAGGTTGGGCTGTACGTTATCCTCAGGCCGGGGCCCTACATTTGCGCCGAATGGGATCTTGGCGGCCTGCCAAGGTAATATGACATAAAAATTTTCTAATCTTGAAATTATTCTTTACCTATGAATACAAGTGATTGTAGAAGGAAACTTCCGTAAATCAGCATAATAACTGGGCCTGTATGCTCTCCCCTGTAAAGCTAGGCGTGACAGATTAATCAGCGTGGCCTGCCTTGCCAACACGCTTTATTGGAGAATAACGGAACAGTGTAATTGTAACAGGAAGTGTGGTCAACCTCAGTCATGGGGCATTCAATTACTACCCCGGGTGCTTTCTCCTACAAGCGTGACTGTGATTGATTTGACCCCCCACTTGACATTTCACATGCCCGACCCAAGTATCTGAACCTCCAAGTCGATTACCTTTGGAAGTATCCCACAATGCATTGGGATAACATGGAGGCTTAGTCAAGCGATGTGAATTAAAATGTTGATATTGTTGTGCGTGTACGTGGTAGATTGTTAAGAAACATGGTGACGGTTGCAAAATAGTGAAAGTTTTGCTCAATAAGCCTTTTGCAAGTTAATTTTGACTAAAATCTGGTGCACTGGGTTCTTTACATTCACGGAAACATAACAATAGGAATTCTCCATACTAAAGACACTGTTGCTACACGTGTGATTTGGGGCAAGCTTCTGCTTAGTTACCATGGTTACATAGAAACGCCTTGCACCAATACATTGTATACAGTGTATACAGTGCACAAAGGAACCAGTCCATTCCAGAGATGGTGGTTGCTATGCAAAAGCTTGCCTTGAATCACAAGGTACAGCAACTAGTCTTTAGTTTCAGGAATTCAAATTGTTATGTTTATATGTAATCAGATAACTCAGTGTACCAGATTTTATTCAAATCTAATTCACAAAAGACTTACTCAGAACTGTGAAAGAGAGGCCACAAACAACGATATTTTGGTCAGTTAAGGCCTGTTCATACTTCAAGCTGATGAAGCAAATTTGACGTCATGACAACTTTGCAGCGAAATTTCATCAGAGTTGGAATGTGTTCAACTTTTACAAATTCGCAACACAAATATTTGATCGCCCCTCACAAATTCACATTTGTTTTCGCTTTCCTGCAAAGTATGAACTGGCCTTTAGGTTTTGGATAACTAAAAACGATGGACTGTACCATTGAAGCTGTATCTTTCACTTATAAGTTGCTCTGCGGACTTCCGAAGTCCTCATTTATGTAATGTTGGGTCATAAGCAGAGAAGAATGCATTTAATTTCAAAGGGGCTGGTCCTTTTTTGCAAGTTTGAGGAAATTTCACTTCGAAACTTGCCTTGTTTTCCTTCTTTATCAGTTGGCTCTTGAGCTATGATGAAATGAAGCTTCGTACCATGTACCCGCTGTTCATCGACTCTGTGGACAAGTATTTTGATCAGTTACTGCCAAGGGTGGAGGGACTGCAGGTGAGTTTAGTTCTGGCCATCTTGACCTTTGACCCTACTTTCACCCTCACCTCCATGCGTCCCAACCTCGTTCCCATACGTCCATTTCTGACATGTAATGTCAAAATATTTAAACGTCTTAATGCTCTTCCGTGCAGCATCAGTTGTTTGGTTTGCCTCACTTTGTTGCAGAAAATAATGGATGTTCAAATACGGATGTAGGCCGTGTCTGAATTTCCTGGCTATGGCTTGAATTTACCCACAAGTCTGTGATAGTGGCTGCAGCTGCTTCCAATAGATTTACTGTGTAATTTCAAGCCCCAGCCGAGAAATTTGGACAAGACCTATCAAATCCCACTTCACCTCCACCTGCATTGCATCATGGGAAGTATCCAGTACCACTAATTGATCATTTTGTTAATTACTCCTGGGATCAACGATGCCGCAATGTTTATACAATGTACTTTTATGCTCTTTTCAGACATGATACACGTAACCAGATATTTGCTATGAATTATAATGCTATAATATGTAAGATTTTTGATGTGTTTTTGTTTAATTTGCCTGCTGCACAGTACAAAAAGAACAGATTGGTTAAGTTGACAAAAGTACACAGCATGTAAATGTGAGTTGAAAAACGTTTCTGCCCCCTTCCCCTGACCAGAAACATATTTGGGTTTTCAAAGTAATAATGTCAAAGAAAGCGTTGATTGGACGTTCTGCCGTGTGTCTCCTCATGTTCTGTAACTTTTCACACTGTGACAAAGCTAACTCCAACGTCAGTGTTTACCTAGGTCCCCCCTTTTTTTTGGTATTTCATTTGCAGTATTACCGTGGAGGGCCAATTATAGCCTTCCAAGTGGAAAATGAATATGGTTCCTATGGCAAAGATGTGGAATACATGACCTACATCAAAGAGGTACGTTTCTGTCTCGCTTGCACCATTAGGAACCTGATACATTGGCCAATATTATGAAGTCATTACCGTGGTGGCACACAAGTTGTTGAATGGGTCATTCTATAAATTAGGGGTCCAGTGTTTTCCGTGTCCCTGTCACATCTACCATATGATTCTTGAGTTCAGAACACATTTTCTAACATCCAGGAGTGATAAATTAATGCAAATTACCTGGCAAAAAAGGAAAAATAGTTTGAAATCAATTTCTGTGATATTTCCATGTCAAATTACACAGGTCAGGTGTAACAGGGACACAAAAATGTCACACCGTTCGACTCCAGATTTATAGAATGACCCAAAGCTTTTTTATTTGTCTTTTTGGGACCCGAAGAGTCCCAACAGTGCAGAAAATTGCCAGTACATCTTTAAGTTGGTGAAACTTTGGAAAGCACCGTTGAAATCAACTCTTCCTGTTCCTCTTGTTGTTTTCAGGCCATGGAGAAGCGAAACCTGAAGGAGATGTTTTTGACATCGGATAACAGTCGGACAGCGATGCTGAATGGTCATTTGCCAGGAGGTAAATGCGCGCACACCTTGACTTCTTGCTGTGTTATTTAAAAGCGCTTTTGTATGGATGTCATGCAAAAGTGTTAACCTTTTGTCCCATAGCTCACCTTTTATCACATGGAAAGTTGTCACTTTACAAATTGTAATCTATTTTCACGTACAAGTAACACTGCCTCATTTCACATTTGTGTTCCATGTTCGTATTACATGCAACATGTCGCCTGTTTGTTCACTGCTCTTGTTTGTTTGAAGGGATGGCCCCTATTTGATTTCACTGTCCTGGATCCATCCTTGTGCTTGTGCAGTCCTGACACCAAGAATTTGTGGAACACAGGTGCCTGAGGCCTTAGGAACACTGGTGCCCAGGGCCTGCAGAACTCTGGTTCCCAGGGCCTACAGAACAATAGTGCTTAAAGGCCTATGGAAAATTGGCACCTAGGGCCTATGGAACCTATGCCTAGGGCTATAGAAGACAGATGCCTCAAGCCTATGGAGACCTAGGACCTATGGAATACTGACACATACGGCCTATGGAACCTAGGACCAAGTGGTACATGAATAGTACACTGGCACCAGGGCCCTGCCTAATGAAAATCCTTTGTCAAATATCTGAAATTAATTTTGGTCATTTTGTGTTTACTTCGGTGGGATACAAAAAATGCTAAATGAAGTTAATGTGATACATGTATGTTTGATGTTTCTATACTCCAGTGTTGCTGACAGCAAACTTCCAAGTTGCTCCAGAAAGACACTTCCAGGACGTTAAAAATATACAGGTGCAGTTTCTGATAGGTTATACATTGCTCAGTGCATTCACTTTGTAGATATGTGACCCGCTCTGCAAAAAAAGGATGATAAGTCACGCAATTGCAAAACACGTAATGGCCTGATCTATTTGGAGAGGGGAACATTTCTTCAAAAAAGTGATTTTGTGTTTTTTTTAATAGCTTCTGTAATATTTATATTTTCAGAATTTGTGATTACAAACATGGATACTGATGAATAAAGATAAAAAATGGATCATTCAGTAGGAAATCCTACATAGCATTGTGTTTCCAAGCACTACACTTTATGAGCTTTTTCTCAAAAAGTGCTTTTATTGAATCCAAAAATGTGGCTTTACAAATGTCTATATATCTCTGGAACGCAGTGCACTACAGGGGTCATTCATATATAAAATTTTAGCTTTTGATGTACAGAATCCAGTCATATCAAAAACTCATAACCCGAATCTGGTGACTTATTACCCATTTTTCTAGAGCCTGTCACACATGTAGTAAACTACTTACACGTAAATACATTGCTTGGTCATCCGGTCATTGTGCACCAAAACCTGATCATCGTGTAGCCATCCTGTGATGATTGGGGGACAATTCCCTCTTGCAGGCAACTCATGCTGGCTGAGACTCCCTGTTGAACCTGTTTGGCCGGCAGGTTAAGGTTGAGTGGTTGAGTGGAGTCCGCAAGCATTTAGGTGCCACGGTTGGTTGTAGCAAATATCGGTCTGTGACATAGTTTCCATGATGATGTCTCATGAGTAAAAACTCATAACTTGGCTGGTGAAAAAATGACTCGCAGCTTGACCCGGGAAAATGTAATTTGGGCTTGACTTGGGAAAATGCTACTTCCAACTTGACTCATGGAAAAATGACTTTGACTTGACTTTCAAAAAAAGGACTCGGTTACAACACTGTTTTTTTTTTTGTTTCTTTCATTCTTAGGGAATGGACAAACCGTTGATGGTGATGGAGTTCTGGTCAGGTTGGTTTGACCACTGGGGAGAGAAACACCACATCTTCAGTGCCGACGGTATGACACGGTTTTCATGTTGCCTTTTTTTTTTCCACAGTTGTTGGGTTCAGAAAACATTTTGTCCTTCCACACCATTATTATTATTATTGATATTGATTTTTGGTAATGACACCAAGGATTCCTCAAAAGCACCCTACCTGTAGGCACTGTTGCTCCCAAGCCTGACGAAACCTGTGTAGAAGAGACACTGAGAAGCAGTTACAGTTTTACAGGTGGGAGGAAAACCCCAGAGGAATATTCTGGGTAAATGTCCACAACATCAGGTAGGGACTGAAAACCCAATCTACATGTGGACCGAGCCGGGAATCGAACCCGGACCGAGGAGGTGGAAGGCGAGGAAAGAACCACTACGCCAGTCCGACTCCCCTGATAAGAAATATCTGGCTGCGCCAGAGTTGGCCAACTTTCACGGTACTATCATTGCAAGCAAGTTGTGCTAATATGCTTAATAGATATTTCTATTTTGCCAAACAAAGCTGCAAAAGCTGTTTCCAACTGAACATATCGTGTATAGTCTAGTTCCGACACCCGACAGTTGCCCTTATGAAATTGTTGGTCTAATAGCTGTCAGTAATGACAGCAATGTAAGATGTACATGTATGACAGCATGTCTGGGATGTGGTGTGTGCCCTGAAAGTCAGCGTTACGGAAAACTTTACAAAATAAATAAATATTCCACAAGAAAGTGAATAAAATACCTTGAAGATATATTTCCAGTTGTTAATGACAATACCACAAATCGCCTTATTTTGGAAACTTTATGTTTCTTTTGTAAATTATTGAAAACCAGAGGAATTCTAATTTCCAAGAGCCAAAATTAGCTGGGAAACCGGCCAAGACAAAAAATGTTTGAAGGTTTGGCTGGTGACCCACATTTCTTCAGCAGGTAGATTCTTGTGCTGAGTAAATTTTGGGACTAAGTAGTTGTTGACATTACCCTGTAGCCTTTGACCTCAGTTGGTACCCGTGTTTAACACCCATATTCCACAGGTATTGCCGACCTAGTCAAGAGTATCTTGGACCTGGATGCTTCCATCAATTTCTACATGTTCCATGGTGGAACCAACTTTGGATTCATGAACGGAGCAAACCTAGACAAGATCTACGCCCCAGATGTTACAAGTTATGGTGAGTCTCGATTGCTCTGTAGTAGTCTTTTTAGAGCATACCTGCCAACCTGTCGTACTCCTTCCTGAGGTCATGCATCACCACATTATAGATTAGAATTTTAAATGAACTGAGAGCTCATTTAAGTAATGCCTGAGCTCAGGAAGGAGCATGACAGGTGGCGGGTCTGTTAGAGCATGCTACTCGTGTTGAACACAATTATACTTCTGAGCGTAGAAATGTAATATTTGACACGGTCAAGCTAAAGGAATGGTTGCTTCTAAGTTAAGGAATGCCTTGGCATGGCAGATATGGGGCGAACAGAGCTTGCCGTTTTCAAATGTAAAGTTCAAACTTGCCTTTTTAAAGATGCATTTCCATGATGATGATGTTGCACTGCAAGATATTTGATTTTCAGTGGTTTTATCCAGTAGGTTTGTTGTTGTTAGTTTCAATACAGGCTTAGCTGTAATTCCACAATTTTAGTGTCACCGTGTCTTGTAGAAGTTTCTTATAGCATAGGTAGGATTAGAGGCATCTGTTCCTGGGGAAGATTGAGACATTACCAATGCCATCAGGGTTAGGTCTAGGTAAAATTGTTCTCCCTGTTGGCACGACAGATGTATCGCCATACTGCTGTTTGGATACTAGCGAGATGACATCCATTTATTTCCTTAAGTTGGAGCTGTACTTCATTATTGATCGTTTTTATGGAAATGGTGCATTCTAAAATTTTGATTGTCATCAATTAATATTATTAATATTATTATAGTAGTTGTTTGGCAAATTTATATTTATATCTCAGAATGAAATGTCTAAAATCAAATCTTTTCTTGTTTCAACTTCCACTGCTGTCAATACAAAGGTTGTTTGAAGATTGGGATCTTCACAGAAATGAAATCAAGCTTGAAAACCTCTTGAAGGAATGAAATTCAACAAATTGAACCCGGGACGACTTAAATGACATGTTTTGATTCAATTTTGTTGATATCTGGTTTCTGCCATCAATATCTATGAATATTGAACATGAAATGTAAATTTTCTCTTTGCAAATTTCACCTTTTCTCATTACCTGTTACATTGACCCCCAGTATTACATGTACACAGCTTCACTTCTGAGGACTGTAAGAAAAAAGAATGGATGTGCAAGAAATGGTCATCCTTTAAGCACGACGTCATACTTAATTGTTATGAACAATAGCCACCTGCTATCAGTCTTATTGATGAAGCAGGGGCAAGCCTCCATAACACCAAGGCATCCAAAGAAGCACACAAGTCATATACATGATAACAGACCGACTTTTACCCTGCTATGCAAAGATGGATTCATGACAAAGTTGTCCTATCAGTCAAAATCAATCAAATCACCCCTTTGTGTCTGTATACCCTGGCAGATCAGGTGAGAGGATTTTTTGACCGTGACTGGTACAGTAAAATCAGGGCTAACAGTGAAGTGCATTAGGCCTCTATTAAGGGGGCAACCATCTTGCTTTTCGACCATTCAAAGCTTTGTAACCAAACTGAGGCTGGAAGGAAAAATAGTCTGTTCCCTTTTATCAATATGTCAAGTTATATTACTCTTGCCAGCAGGCCTATGGGAAACAAGACAAGCATGGCGGCCTCACTATCGCACTTGTCATGTAAAGGAAGTATAGGCCCCTGCTACCATCAGAGGCACCTTCCAGCTCACTCCGTAGGCCGGTTTGTTTCAAAAGGTCCTTGTTCTTGATCAGTGGTCACGATGCTGGTTCCCTCCATCCGATAGGCAGGTTCTGGTGTCAGTGAATCAACAGGGGGTTACTGATGGAGATCCGGATCCATGTGAAACAAACAGGTCCCATACTTCCAAATGTGATATTGACAGCACGTTGAACGTAGTTTGACCTGTTTTCATTTACTCCTAAGATTACGATGCCCCTCTGTCCGAGGCTGGTGACCTGACGGAAAAATACTACAAGGTCAAAGAAGTTTTGAAGGCAAATACCCCCAAAGGAACAGGTTAGCGATTATATAGTGTAAGCTTTTTCGCTATTTGTGCGACGTTTTGAGAAAACCCGAGACCTTTCACTTTGTAACCTTAATATGGAGCCCCCTTTGCAATCGTGTGCAGCAATACTTTTGTACGTTTAGGTTTTGTAGTAATATATTTGCCGTCCTTTTGACACCAATTATAGGAGAAGACTGATTTACTCTTAAATAAGCAAACACCATTCGTGCAAAAAATCCATCAAAGTCAGTGATCAAATTCCATTTTGTTCAATTTACCATATTTTTCCACTGAAGGTTGTTTGCTTTCTCGTATTTATTACCTTCATGCATTTTTCTGTTATAAAGTGAATTGTGTGCTAGGATTTATTTTCAGCATTAAGTGTGAAGAAGAGACAAAACAGACACACTTGATGCCATATTTTCAAAGAATGTGTGAATTTTAATTTTGAGAAACAATGGTTTCGCATGAATGTGACTTTACCACAGCTTTCATTTGGCAGGCTGAGATACAACATGTTAGCATGAACGAATAAGCGCCTAAGAGAAATATATCAGTTGTGTTATAATTACATGTACA